CCACCAACCTCAACCACCAATGGTTCGGGTTTCCCTTGATGAAGTTCACCATAGCAGCAGTCCCCCTTGATGATCCCCCCAAATTCTCCTTCATCACTAGTAGTGTGACTGTGACTATGACTGCGACCGTGAGTGTAAACTAGTTCCTCCTTTCTTTTCCCATCATCATCTGTCTCAAACAGATAAATTTGTTTGCTCCCATATGGTCCGTATCGAAGCCCCGTCTTCTGCTTCGGGTCCCGCGGTTCCAGGCCGCCGGCAAGAAGAATTTGGGAGCCCAACAAACCGCAACCCATCAAGTAGGGAACATCCTTGCCCTCCACAGAAGCCAATTTTCGCGGCAACTCTATCTTGGATTTGGATTTGAATGTGGATAATAAATCGCTCAATCTGATGGCGCGGATATCGTAATGAGCATGACCGGTTTTGGACTCGTAGGTACATATATATAGAGACCTACTATCGGTTTCAGTATCATCCGCCACCGGCCCTTCCGGAATTCCCATCACGCGTAGCCTCCTCGCCATAGTTGTTTTTCTTTTTGGAGCTCTCTGATATATTCTTTTAGCTCTAGGTTTTCTGATTTCTTCTGTTTGATTTGCTTATGTACTGCACCGCTACGCTTTTATATAAACCATAATGAATGTATTTGTTGGCGTGTGTTAATTATAGGAGATTTATTTCCTAATTAGTGTAGTAGACTAAATTCATTTGTTTCCTATTTTACTTTTGCTTCCTTTTCTACATATGCGTTAACCCTACTTATATATATATATATATAACCCTTAGTTGATAGAGGAAAACTTAATCAAAACGTGAAAATAAACCAAATCCTAATTGGAATATAAAAAAGAAAACTAAAACTTAGCGTTATTGGCTAACAAGCCGACTTAGACTAGGAAAGTTCAATTCCTTTTTGGTCATACATATATAATATATATTTTTGTCTTCTGTACGTATGAGAGTCTTTCTGAGATCGTTACATTGCCATCAGAGAAGCAAAGTACCTTGCTGAAAGATTTTATGCAGAGCCTTAACTTTGGAGTTTCTCCAAATGGACCCTTAATGCAATGAATCTTGTGAACATGTGCCATACTCATCAAATTTTAAGCAATTGAAAATGGAATTTTATGGTTGGAGTACAAACTATGATACAATTTTCTTCTACGTTATTAGAGTGTAGTAAATCTTCCTACATGCAAATTTACAATACAATCCTTATTGTTAGTATTACTATTGGTGGAATAAGGAAGATATTCTGTCCATATGCACCACTTATTTGCACTGATAAAATACTTGAAAAAAGTGTGCCCCTCCCCAAACCCACCACTTGTTTGCAATTACTAATGAGTTTGGGTTTACATCAAAAAGTGTCACTCTGAAATTTTTGAACTTTTGTACTAATTACCCAAACCCACCACTTGTTTGCAATTACTAATGAGTTTGGGTTTACATCAAAAAGTGTCACTCTGAAATTTTTGAACTTTTGAACTAATTACTACTCTTTTAGTTACTCTTTAATCTGTGATTCGAGCATCAAGTTTTCTTTCTTGGATAATTATGAAGATTCTTGAAGTTTCCAATGCTATGAAGTACTGCATGTTCTTATTCTTCTTTGGTAAATTAGCTGTGACTTGAGATTAAAAAAAAAAGGGAATACTTGTAAGTTCTTTTTAATTTTCAGTGTTCCAAAAAGGAGAATGTTGTGTGATTATTTCATCATGGAAAACTTAATGACAGGGGCAGCATCAGGGAACATGGTTAGCATTTGGATATAGAAATTTTAGAGAATTACGGCTGAAATTACATAAAAAAAATTCTGATGTTGTGTAGGAATCCACTAAGAAATGAATTTTTGTATAAATTTTTATTTTTAATTTTTTAATATGTTCATTGTGCAGGTATACTGGTGTCCTGGCTTGCTTAGGAACATTCATTCTTTTGGGTACATCTTACAATCTGTGTGTGCAAGGGTTTTCTCAAGACTTTTTAACCGTGGGAATAACCTGCTTTGTCATTATCTGACCCGATTGTCTTTAATTGTATGCAAACACCTCTGGGCATCGGGTCATTATTTGAGTGTGAATATCTTTGACATTAAGATGTATTGTTTCTCTGATTGACGATACTGCTAGTAGCGGATGTGACTGTTATGTCAAGAATACTTTGGCCCTTGTTTATATTCTTCTAGCAGTTTGTAAATCTGTCTTTCACTCCGAGTGACGATTTTGTTTTTTGGTCTGTAACTCCGAGTAGCTATACTCCTTCTCCTTGTGCAATACAGATTTGGGACGCTTTGAACTGGCTCTGTTGATTGAAAAACAGTCACAGCCTTAGTTGATCCATTGCTTTCAATGTCATCATAACCAAATTTCATGCTATGCATGGCATGAGGATGCTAGGAAGAATGAATGAAATGGAATTGTCTGGTAGAATTGTCGGGGCTACTGGGTTGAAATCTCTGCAATCGATCGCCTTGAATATGGCAGTCATGCATTCACAACAAATTCTTTGAATTACTCATTGTGCGTAACATTTTTTCAGCAAATTAGCCAAAACAAATGATCAATGATTATCATTGATAATTACCAATTGGAAATTTGGATACAGTTGAATAAACTTATATCTCAATCCCCAATATGATAGACAAAGCAATAGCTTATACTCCTTGAAGCCCTCTTGGACAGGAGGTAGTATTTGATAGGGAACTATTTTAGATATAACCAGCAATAAGTATGACCAATCTTTGCTTTTCAGTTCTAAGCAGTCTCAATTTTTCTTAATTGAAGCAGAGAAACAATTAGAGACCCCAATTGTTATGACGTAGCATTTGGAAATGCCCGGCAAAAATCACCTATTAACGTTCTACTATGATGCACTTGTTTCTAACAATCGATATAGGATTCACGTCGCACTCCTTTTTTGGCCTCCCAGGTGGTGATCTTCACTGCCACAGCGAACCACTCGTGTCCAAGATTCAACAAATTGCAAATCACGGGATCTTAAAACATATATATGAGCCCTGTGATTCTTAAATTCTTTCATGTGTAAAATTGTGTTGTCCACCTGAAATCTATATTACAAGGTATCATTTCCTGCTGCACCCCACAAAAACTTCAGAATGAACGCTTCAAACAAATGCAGGTACCATCACTGGCGCATCAACTACTTGCACCAAAAGTTGTGAAACTCTAATGTTCTTCAAAGAAGTCAACTAGTACCTCTAGTACCTGAAAAAATACATACAATTTTATTGGGTAATCAGTAAGTGAAAGGCACTACCGGAGATTCATTAGTCGTTATCCTGGGCCTATTAATTAATTGTTTGGACACACTGATTCAATTTTAACAAGTACACATGCATGCAAGCAAAACATCAAAATGCATTGCTAAAAGTCAAATATGATGAAACCTAGAACTTCTGCATACTTGATCAAGGAGACTCTTTCGTCCAGACTTAACAAAACTATCAGACCCTACAAAATCCAACCTCACCTACACTAGCAGTACTCCTCCAACAAAATCAGCCCATCTTCTCCCCACATATTCCTTCCTTCCACTCCTTGGAGTAGAAGCTGTACGCTGTAGAGATGGAAATTGGTACAGAATGTTTCCCTGCATAATAAGCAATTTTTTTTTGTGAATAACTACTTATATATCTTTTCATTTACGTAAGAAAAGTAAACAATTAAAAAAAAATGCTCTCCGGGGGTCAACATATATAAGCTCACAATTTTTTACATATAGAAGACCCGTAGAAATGAATGAAAATGCAATAAAAGTTACATACATGTAAAAAAAAAAATTATGAGGAACATGTTTATTAGATTGTTATACGCATATTTCGGAAATTAAAAAAAACCTGTCCAAAAGGCCAAGATAATAAAATAGAAAAAAGTTAAGTGACCTGGTCCTAGACGGTGTCGTTTTGAGATGAAACTACAGCAAAGAGGAGGAAATGAAACACAGAAAATAGAATAATAAAGGACCTGAATTGCCATTTCTTCTCCTTGAAAAATTTATCAACTCCTCCAACAAAATCAGCCCATCTTCTCCCCACATATTCCTTCCTTCCACTCCTTGGAGTAGAAGCTGTGCGCTGTAGGGATGGAAATTGGTACAGAATGTTTCCCTGCATAATAAGCAATTTTTTTTTTTGTGAATAACTACTTATATATCTTTTCATTTACGTAAGAAAAGTAAACAATTATAAAAAATTAATGGATGGCAAGCATGATGGATTTAAAATCCAGAAGCATATAGTCACACATCATGCATGCGCGTGTCTTCAGCTGTGGGAATAAAAAAGAAGAAAAGTTTTTGATTGGACCAGCAGACAAAGAACCATATAATATATAACATAGATATAGGCTTTAAAATACATAATATATATAGGACAACGTCGTTTTGACTTTGAGGGAAAAAATAAAAAAGGAAGCGCATGCAGCGCTGCGTGCTGGAGGATGCTGCGCGCTGGGGAGGAGCAGCGATAAACATACCTCTTCATCTATTACAGGCTGACCCTCATACCGTAAAAGAACAGGTAAGATGTAAGTTTCATCATTCTGAAATTAACAGAAAGTAAAAAACCCGTCAAGCATCTGAATAAGGACCGAAAAGGAAACATGCTGAATATAGTAAAAGAAACTGAAATTTTCAAGTCCATTAAGAGTTTGAACTGATTGAAATGCTCAATATGAAGCCAAACAACACAAATATACAATTGGTGAACTCAATTTATGGTTGGAAGTTTTTTCTTTTTTAAAGAAAGAAAGTTAAGATCACAACTATCTAACATTTTTTAGTATGAAGCCTTGAAGCACCGTGTGCAAGAACAATTTCATAGTCTTGCTCAACCAGATCCCTGTCCGTGCTATAGACAATTCTATCCTGCCCAATGAATGTTCTTTGGGCCATGTCCCGGGCACTGAGGAGCTGAATAACATCATACAGTAAAGCAATAAATAACTATTTTTCTATAATTAAAGGAACAAAGTTAATCAAGTTTCCATTCTTTATTCAGTTATCTTTACGTCAACAAGTACAGGATTACATATGACAAATCAAATGTCATATGTTTTACTTTAATTATTCGGTCAAGAAGATTAGAATGTATTAATGGCTAAATAACAAACATAAGCATTGAAAGTTTGTTTTCCTCAAGCAAGCATAAACCTTATTGAGAGAGAGAGAGAGAGAGAAAGAGAGCAAATAATCCAATCTCAGCTGGAGCTAGTACGAATTCTCCAAATATGAGAGCAGAGCTTGATTACATTACGAATTGGAAATTCCACATGAACTTCTACAACAAAAAAATATTTACCAGAGTTCCCCCTGAAGTTTCTACTTCAAGATATGGAGCAAGCTCTTCAGCTGCAACAACTCCACCATTAGAGGCTATGTATTGCCCAATCTGCAAGTACAGTTCATGGAACAATTGCCATTACATTTTTATACAGATCTGCCATTATTTCTAATGACACTCAAAATAACAGTTCCATCATAACAGATTACAGAATTTTAGGAATAAGATAAAGAGTCCCACAACTAAGGAAGTCTTCTATCAAAAAATTAGAAGACTTTACCATACGTGGACCACAGTTTCTGACAGGAGCACCAATTACATTCAGTATTTGTGAAATTTTATATTTTTCAATAATTTATATATAGCTTTAGGGAAGTAACAGAAGTTTCAAAAATAATCAAAATAAAGCTATATGCCAATGACCATTACTACGACTTCCAACTTTTTCATTACCAATTGATATCATAGACAAGTGCAGTCCATTACTTTAAATTTTATGATTCCCTTTTTTCTTCCTTCTGTTGAATTCTAAATATAGTAATTTCATGTATAATACTCATATTATACATGTACATATGTATTTTTCAAAAATACTTCCGTTTCCCGTACATTTCTAAAAATGCAGTAAAATACACATTTTTAAAATCAAAGGCACTATACACGTATTATATGCTTATGTACGCATTTTTCATGTTTGGCACATGTATTATTTACAATTTTTCAACTAATGCAGGTAAAATTCATGTTTTATACATGTATTTTTCACATATTATTGAATAAAAAGACATTCAAAAACTTAAATAAAGAATACTTAAGTACTATATAATTGCCGAATGTTTCAGCATAATTTTTTATTATTTAAATATTGATGAATAACACGAGGACATATTTTATTCATATGTTTCCTCTCTCATATTTTACTAACTATACACAAAAGATATTATGATTAAAGTATCATTTCCATATAATGATAATGCTTTAAATGATGATAAATGTAAAAAATAGAAGAGACCTCAACGAAGTTGTAAACTGATGCAGACTCTTTCAAAGTATTCCACCAAGGAATTGCATAAGAATTTACAAGAAGACACCATAACTTATTTCAAATTCCAGTATATAAAGGTCTCCACAAGATTTTAAGGGGCAACAAGTGCAGTCCATTACTTTAAATTTTATGATTCCCTTTTTTCTTCCTTCTGTTGAATTCTAAATATAGTAATTTCATGTATATTACTCATATTATACATGTACGTATTTATTTTTCAAAAATACTTCCATTTCCCTTACATTTCTAAAAATGCAGTAAAATACACATTTTTAAAATCAAAGGCACTATACACGTATTATATGCTTACGTACGCATTTTTCATGTTTGGCACATGTATTATTTACAATTTTTCAACTAATGCAGGTAAAATTCATGTTTTATACATGTCTTTTTCACATATTATTGAATAAAAAGACATTCAAAAAACTTAAATAAAGAATACTTAAGTACTATATAATTGCCAAATGTTTCAGCATAATTTTTTATTATTTAAATATTGATGAATAACACGAGGACATATTTTATTCATATGTTTCCTCTCTCGTATTTTACTAACTATACACAAAAGATATTATGATTAAAGTATCATTTCCATATAATGATAATGCTTTAAATGATGATAAAATGTAAAAAATAGAAGAGACCTCAACAAAGTTGTAAACTGATGCAGACTCTTACAAAGTATTCCACCAAGGAATTGCATAAGAATTTACAAGAAGACCCCATAACTTATTTCAAATTCCAGTATATAAAGGTCTCCACAAGATTTTAAGGGGCAATATGTACATGTAGCTTGAGAGGAAGGGGAGAGAGTTATATATACCCCTAATTACTAGTTTAAACTCTAACAAGGGAGAAATGAACTTGAACTAAAAGGTATACGAACACAACAAATAAACTGAAACAAATTGTTGAAAGCAACGAACCACTGAACTCAGTGCTCGCTTATTACCAACTTCCATCTCTCTTCTTCGATTCCTTGGTTTGGATCACCATCGCCAAATACAAATGAGAAAATCTGAAAGAAAACATTTATAAAGTCAATACTTTCAGTTTAAACAAAACTAGGAAAGAGCCAATAAAAATAAAGAATGATTCAGACCAACACATACAGATTCAACGAATTTCATCTTATTATCATCTGTTTGTGGTCGTCGCCTCCTATAGTAATATGGATCCCAGTACCTTAATGAAATAAATAGTAAGGGAAGTGTTAGCAAAAGTTTCTTCCAAGTTTCAACGAATAAAATAACTAAACCTGAAACCCTTCCATATTCTTATGAAGAGCATATATGCAAGTATAGAATGCATTACCAAAAGAGGTCAGTGGGGCTGAAGTAAAAATTGAACCCCGAATCATACGACCTTCCTCCCCGTCTTCCGCGATTGTCATCTTCACTGTAACCAAAACACTAGTGTCAACCATCCTTCCCACAATATAAACGTATTTATCAATGAAAACAATAACGGTGCCCTAAAAATTTACCTTCTACCAGAAGACAGAGCAACAACAATTGCAGTATAAACAAGAACAATGGAAGCAATTAGGGCAGTTCCAAATGAAACCCTTGCTACATACTCGGCCCCGGCCTGTCAAAAGGCATGGTATTAGTGCCAATTGCTAAACATTAGTTACAAAACAAACTTCAACAAAAAATCAAATTCCACAAATAATCACTACCTTTGCCTTCTCAAGCAGAGGCTCAACTTTCATTCTAAACGATTTGCCTACAAGCTTTGCTCGATAATCCTTGGGGAAAACATAGAGTACATCACCTTCATCCGAGACCTGTTGAGACCATCTTGAAAACAACAATTGCACTCACCCACTAACACAATTTGTAAAAGTAACTAAACAAAGCTACAGGTCCCATTCACTTTCTTCACAAACATAACCTCCCAACAACTATCACATACATATATGTGTATAAGTACATAAATTTTTGAAAATAAGTACCTCCAAGAAGCCTTCTGTGTCAGCAGCGAGAGCTTGCAAAGCATTCTGAGCTTCATTGAGCTTGAGCCCAGCCCTACTGGCCACGTCACCAATCGTCACTCTTCCTCCGCAAGCGTCCACAGCTTCCATTGCTCGCTTTCTCACATCTGAAGGCAACTTATCGCTCTCGACAGCACCGCCGGGCCTAATTGCAGTGGTGGCGTCGAGGCTTGCCTTCACAGCCGGCACGAAAACCCTAGATTCTCGAAACTTCGCGCCAAAGCCCGGGAAAATGGGCGTTTGGATAAGACGAAAGGTTTTGGGACGGTCGGGGAAAAGTGAGGCTTTGAACAGGAGACGAGAACGCGGCTTCGGTGGAAGTGTGAAGCAGGTGGCTATTGACGCCATTGATCGATTTCTGTTGAAAAGTTGCAATTTTTGGTAGGGTGGTTTTCTAAGTTCTGGCAATGGGACTCGCTTTCTCTGCTGAGTGGCTCAGAATTGGAGCTTCGGATTGTCTATGCTTGTTTCTCTGTAGAAGCTATTGGACTAGGAGGAGATGATGCAGGTGAAATGACTGTCCTACCCTCGCCAGATATTAATGGATAATATCGTTTGGAAAATTGAAAATTTGTTGTTGGTGGAAATGATCAGAAGTACCCTTTTCACACTGTAAGTAAGATGATTGAGAAATAATCAAGTTCATTAAACAGTTAATCAAGTTACTCAAAACATACCACCTTTGAAGTTCATTTGGAATCTATTTACTTCCTTTGTTTCCTTCATATTCCAATATCTGTTTATTTTCTTCATTCCATATCGATTTAAATCCTTCAATTTTAAAGTTACTCCATCCAAATAGATCTTGATTTTTCATAAAATAATTATATAAAAAAACATTTTGTTTTGATATCAACAAATTACTTTCTTTGCCTTAAAGGTATTTTTTTAAAATAAATAAAAAATAAACCAGAGGTAGATGATCTGAATTTATAGTTCTATTTCTAATATTGAGGAGAAAAAAAACATTATACCAGAGCAATAACTGCCCTAAGCTGCACACGCACCGCCAAAAACATAGTAGCTAGTAATCAATTGTTTCGTAGCTATTTTTATTAAGCAAATCATATAAACAATACATTATATCTTGTCATAATGTACATTGAAAAGTTGGTACTCATAATCGCTTCTGGATTTAAACGATACCAGCCATGGCCCTGGATATGAAACTTTAAAAGGGCACAAACTGGTCCTGTGCAAAATCTCTAACTGCTATGAACAACATATTAAAGTGTCAAATATTGAAATCTTCCTGCTGTGCCGTCCTTCACTGAATTTCTCATGATCATAACCACTCTTGCTGTATTCTGCTGTATTCATGAATGCAAGTACAAACTACATCCAGTGCCTCAAAATCCCGAAATTCTGGTTCCTAACCTTCCAAGAAACCAATGTTTTTGTCTGAGGGATAACAATTTATGAAAGTACACACGTAATGCTGAGGATGTAGCCAAAACTCACCCAAATGGAAGTGAACACAGCAAAGAATCACCACATTGAAAGCTCTACTGTGGAAGCTCCACTATAGATTCACATCATGCTGCATTCCTAAAGCTCCAGTAATATGCTTCGTTTTTAACTCATTATCGTTGATGGATCATCTCCCAAACCCATCGTCGTAAAGAAGACAACCTGCTATAGAATCAAAAGGGCTTTAGACATTTTACTTATACTCTCTTTCTATTTTTGTTATCTACACAGTGTCACGTCTCCAGCTTTCAACCTCTGATACAGACCAATATCATGCCCTCTTGCAATCAAAATCTTCAAAGAAAACTAATAACTCAGAACCAAAGTATTCCCCAATTAAAAATTGTTAACTGGGTGCTGAACAGATTTTTTGACATTAGTAAGCCCATCAATCAGCCAGCCTGTTATATGTACCAAGGTCAGGTATAAACCCCTTATCCAGCATCTCATCCACCAGCAGTTTCTGCTCCTTCCTTTTGCCTTCTCTTGAATACCCAGATACCAAAATGCTATAAGCCGTGCTGTCTAGGTCCAAGCCTTTGCTCGAAGACAACAACTTAAGACTATCTGCCTCCACTGTTCTCCTCAGATTACAGAGATCTTGAAGAAGACAATTAAATGTCACAATATCCGGAACTATACCTTCTTCAAGCATCCTTTTCATCAATCCAAAAGCTTCATCAATTCTTGATGACCTACTCAAACCCTCAATCAAAGTGGTACAAGCAATCAAGCTCGGAACATTTCCTTTCCTCCATAGCTCATCTACAACCTCCAATGCTCTACCCGAATTTCCTTTCTTACAGAGCACCTCAATAAGACCAAGATAATCATACCATTTAGGCAACACTCCTTTTCTTGAAAAATCTATCAACAACTCACACGCCTCAGAAACCCGACCTTCTCTACAAAGGCCATCAACCAAAATCTCACAAGTCACACTCGAAAACTTGCACCCGAATTCAATCATCTCATAAGCCATCCCAATCCCATCCTCAAACTTCCTCTCCCTAAAGAAACCTTTAATCAAAGTATTAAAACTCACCACATTGGGGCTACACCCCTTCTCTCTCATATCCTTAAACAACTCCAAGGCTAACCCAAATTGTGAATTCCGACAATAACTACTAATCAAAATATTGAAAGTAAACACATCAGCCTTAACTCTATCCTTCATCATCTTATCATACAACCCCAAAGCCTTATCATGCTGACCACATTTCACAAATCCATGAATCAAAATGTTATAAACCAAAACACTAGGCCTCCCATCAATCAATTTCCGCATAGAATCAAACGCAATCACAGCATCACCCAATCTCCCAACTCTACAATAAGCATTAATGGAAAATTGGAAAATGGGTTCTGTTCTGGGGCAAGAGAAAATACCATCCGAGCAAGGACAAGGGTTGGAGACCATGAAGCTGAGGAGAGAACCCAATTCGACGAAGCGGTCAGTGATTGCGAGCGTGCGGGCCATCCATTCGAATGTGGAATGGTCGTGGCGAAAGGAGTCGATGGAGGAGGCCCAGTTGAAGACATGGAAGTCGAAGTGGGTGAAGGTGGGGTGGTGGTGGAGCTTGCATTTGAGGAAATGGAGGAGGGCTTGGGATGTGAGAGGTGGGTTTTTTATATGGGTTTTGAGGAAGTTGAGGAGGTGCGTGTGGTTAGAAGTTGGGGAGAGAGTGAGGGTTGGGTGAGGGGTTGATGGGGTTTTGGGTGCGCTTGGAAGTGTGGGGTTTGGGATTGGAGAGAGCGCTGGTTTTGGGTTTTTAGGGGTTTGCTCCAGTAGTGGTATGGTTATTGGTCTTCTCATCTTATTCATCACCAAACGTTTCACTGAAACTCAAGCTCCACAACAATGGCTGTTACTCTTAGGCCACGCTTATGTCTCTGCAAACGGTGCGTTTCATTCACCCGACAAATGAGAAAGAAAGAAAGGTGCTTTGACATAAATGCCCCGCCTTTATATAATACAAAGCAAACCCCGCTCTGGGTCGAAAACTCGAAAGGAAGCTGAACTGAAGGGAAAAATCCCAACTTGGGTGCCGAAGCAGAATGAGAGCTGAGAGCTTCAATGCCGCTTTCTCCTCTGGTGTCCGTACAATACAAAGGCCTCTGAGCTCTTCAATTTTCGGCGTAACGAAGCCTAAACTTATCGCTGCTACGCCTTCTAAAAGCTCCAGTAATTTTTGCTTCCACTTCATCTTCTACTTTGGGCTTATACTTTGTATACGTTAATATAACACACAATTTATCTTCTTTTTTTTGGTGTAGGATTTACTCGAATTTCAATACGCTGCGCGGTTCATTTTCGACCTTGCATTGATATACACAAGGTATTGCAACTTGAATTTATCAAATTTCATGCTTTAAGTCGTTTGGGTATTGCTATAATTGGCTTATATGTCTGTGTACTTAGCCCAGTTGTGTTTTTGTGTTTTGTTAATTTTCTGTGCTTGTTATGTTGATTTGGTTTCAGGGGAAAGTGAAACAAATTGTTGGGTCTACCCTTTCGGATTCGAAGGAGGATGGGTCTGCTCTTGTTACCAATTTTGTGTCAGATAAGTCAGCGGCGGAGTATGCAAAGATGTATAAGGAAGACGGCCTTACAGGTGGTCATGTGATCATGCTTGGAGCTGACCCTTTGAGCAGAGCTGCAGCCATTGAAGCTCTGCATGCCTATCCTGGTGGGTCTTTGGTTGCCTTCTTGTTCTTGTAGATTCTGTTGCTGTGTTTGAATTTTTCATTCGATTTTGGATTCAAATGATTGGAAGTAGTCTTCTATTAATTATCCCCTTAATAATTTATGCAAAGTGCATCTTTGGATTGTTCTCTCAGTTTCAATAAAATGCAACTGGCTCTGGTACAGTTTAAGTTTACTAAGTGGCTGGAAATGAGTGTGGATTGGATTAAAAGAAAACGAAACTTAGCATCAGTAGGCTTGGAAGGACTGACATCAAATAAATGCTAACTTCTGCAAAAATATAAGCTTCCCAGTATTATTGCATGAAATAAGATTGTCAGGAAAGTTGAGTGCCTTGGGAGTGTGTTATTTCACTTTAATCTCTGTAGTTGATGATATCTTTAAAACTTACAGATTTTCCTCTGATGAACTTGCTGCGAGGACTGGTATAATCTAGGTGGTTTGCAAGTTGGAGGTGGGATCAATTCAGATAATTCTTTGCGTTACATAGAAGAAGGGGCTAGCCATGTCATTGTCACCTCGGTAAGTTTCTACCTTTTGTTCTTTCTTTTTACATCTATATATTGATAAAGAGGACTTATTTAGATAAAATCATTTCATGAAAGCATTTCATTACACTCGTCATGGTTTTGTTGCAGTATGTATTCAACAATGGGCAAATGGACCTTGAAAGGCTCAAAGACCTTGTTTCTGTTGTTGGAAAAGAGAGGCTTGTTTTAGACCTCAGCTGCAGAAAGAGGGTAGGAAGCCAGCCAAAAATTAAACCTCCTTTGTTCTTATTTATGTTTTATTTTCAGGGCCAATTATTTACTTGATTCTTGAGCAATTTTTATATGGCTTCTTTGTGATCTGTGATATGAATAGACTAACAATTTTCTGAGACAATTGCATATATTAAGAATCAGAAATATCAATATCTAATCGTTATTAAAGTGATTTTGTTGCTCTTAATTTTCTCCTTGAGCATTTTCAACTACCTCACTTCCTGGGCTTTAACGTGTTGGCCTTAATGTGCATTTACTTTAATCTGCAGGAAGGCAAATATGCAATTGTTACAGATAGATGGCAGAAGTTCAGTGACGTGTATCTTGATGAGGAAATATTGGACTTTCTTGCCAACTATGCAGACGAATTTCTAGTTCATGGTGTTGATGTTGAAGGGAAAAAGTATGTCATATGGTGCCATGTTTATTTCATTACTAAAACTTTTAAAATTTAAAAGTGCATATTGGAATGATCATCAGTATGATCTCATTTTTGTCTATTGCAGGCTGGGCATTGATGAAGAGCTTGTGGCGTTGCTTGGAAAGCATTCACCGGTTGGTAAATTAGTAATAGAATGGCACATTTATGACTTTGCTACCTGCTCATGTTTTTAAAATTCCCTAGGTTGTTGGCTTGCTGGAAATGCTCCCTCATCTATCATTTCACCAAGCATTCCTGTAGCTTGACAAAATTTCTTTAACCTTTTGTCTGCATATCTGATTAGATAATCATTGATGGCTTTTTTGCTAAACTGATCACAGTAGAAATGAGTTGAAATCATCTGTGTTTTTTAACCTCACAAAGATGCCCTTGGAAAGACGTAGGACGAAGCCATGATTGCTGTCATCTAAATCATTTGTATGATAAGTGAATGCTGATTAAAATGGGAGAAGTGCATATCACCTGACTGCACCATTGATACAAAGCTCTCAAACATGAAACTTTATTATTTCTCATCGTACATATGTTCACATCACTGATAGACTATGGTTTTGGGTGCCAGATTCCTGTAACTTATGCTGGTGGTGTCACTGGAATGGGTGATTTAGAGAGGATAAAAGTGGCAGGGCTAGGACATGTGGATGTTACTGTTGGCAGCGCTTTGGATGTCTTTGGGGGCAACTTGTCATACAAACATGTCGTTGCTTGGCATGCCCAGCAGGAGGCCTTGACTGTTTAGGGCATTTCTATGATCTTTTGGTTTGTGTACACCATTTTGATATCTAGGTTGTTGTGGCTTTTTATATTTTGGAAATCCGTAGTAGAGTTCAGTTGTGTAACCTAGAATAAAATGCTACGTTGTACCTTATGAATAGAAGCTATTTACTTTTGTGGCCACTGAAATGAAAACTTGCAACAGCCTAATATGGTGAAATTGAGTTATGAATCGAGATTCTACTTCTTTTGTTTTTACCTATCCCTCTCTACTTATAGTTGGTTGTTCTTTTATTTTCTCCATCTCCACCCTCTTGAGTTATCAGAGATATTATCTGGTTTGGCAAGGCAATATTTTCAATAGGTGTTTGGTTTACCTTTGCTAAACCAAGTTTGGCACTACAAACATCCCTGAAGGGATAGAGACCTGACTGTGTCATAGGCATGGTCACTCGAGCTCTGGTTTGCGTCGTCAACTTTCCTTGCAAATAAAAGAAAAGAAAAACAGAAGTTGTGCACTACAGAAATAATTTTTGCGTATGTGCAATATTAGAAATGCATTGTTGGAGAGAAGTGCATGTATTATGGGTGTAAAATGGGCTCTATTCTAGCCAAAAGAAGCAAAAGAACAAGGAAAACCTTACCCAAAATAAAAATGAAAAACAGAAAGAAACGAGCATTTGCAAATGAGGGAGTGATATGATTGCCAAGTATTTAGGAATCAATGCAGGAAGTGAGTATTGATCGAGCCTTAAACCACACTCAACATATATTTCAAAAACAAGAAATAAAAAGTAATGATTGTACATATTCAGAGTTTACATCGTCCACACTTAAATCTGCTACATTACTACTATTCTCACTTAGTGCAGTGAAACACCGAAGAAAAACCTTTCATATTGAGGGAGGGGGAGGAGTTAACGATAAATCCAGGATTTGATTTCCTCTTGAAAATGATAATGGTAGTGAAGGGTTTCCCAAAATTAATTCAAAAAGAAATTCAAAGGAGGTTCATACCTGCAAAAACAGTGTATATTGAGGGGTGAATGTGGTATTTGACAAAAAATGGTATCTATTTCCCGGGAAAATCATAACCACCACTCCACGAGTGACTCTCAAACTCCCACCCCTCTCACTTTCTCTGCAACAGAAATTCAAAAAAACCCAAGAAGAAAGCAACAATGTTGTTCACTCAAACATTCCCATCCAAAACCATAACCTGCACATCTCTCTCAGGAAGAAACCCTAACAGTAACAGACACATCGCCATCTCCACGCCCACCGACCGAGTCACCACCACCGTGCCCTCTCCGTCGCAGCGAAGAAGAACCATGTCCGCTCTAGAAGCCCGAATCTCCCTCGTCGCCGCTCTCGCTTCTCAAGCCTCATCCGTCTCCCAGCGACGTAAATGTTCAAACCCCTCCCGCACACTCCAAACCTTCCTTAATTTACACGGTTAGTTCCCCGGTACCAATTTGTTTTCAACATTTGCCCCTTTAAAACTTGCAGTTTTACTCGAATTGGCCACGGAGACTGCCAAATACGTCTTCCCCAAACAGTTCGAGGCTCGTACTCTCGAAGAAGCTCTCATGTCAGGTATTGTTTCAAGTGATAGAGCTAGCTTTTTTTTTTTTCTTCTTTTTTACGTGCATTTTTTGAAACTAATTTCTGTGTGTATATATTTGGTGTAGTTCCGGACCTCGAAACGGTGAAGTTCAAAGTTCTGAGTAGGAGAGACCAGTATGAAATTAGAGAAGTAGAGGTATTGTTAACAGTCTCCTTTTTTGTTTTCATAGCTCTGCCTCGTTAGGCTTTGTGATTCTTCTTCTTCAGTTCAATTGTGGACTTCTTAACGGTTTTTTTTGGTGTCTCTACTTTCAGAGCACTTTACTATGACTGATCGGGGTTTTTTTGTGTGTAAAATCAGCCTTACTTTATAGCGGAGACTACAATGCCTGGAAAGACTGGTTTTGATTTCAATGGTGCATCTCAATCCTTCAATGTCTTGGCTGAGTACCTGTTTGGTAAGGTACTTTGAAATATCTTCTCTTTGCGGGGTTTTTTTATTTTTTGTCCAAATGAAATCATTAAAAAAATATATTTTAATGAATTATATAATACCATTTTACAATACATCTAACCCTGTTTGGTTAACTTACCTTGTTCTTCTGTTTGTTAAGAATACAACAAAGGAAAAAATGGAGATGACCACACCAGTTTTTACACGTAAAGCTCAATCTGATGGGGTGAAAATGGAAATGACAACTCCAGTGATAACAACGAGGGTAATTTTCTGCATGCATCTTATGTTAATGTTATCTGTAATTTTTTGCATGATAAAATTTGGAATGATACTCTCATCTTTCAAATGCACTTTTGATGGCTTCTCTAAAATCTGTAGATTACTTCATTTCGGTCTGGCACCATGTCAGTCTTGATCAAACTAAGATGTAATGGTTGAAGTTCTTTTGAGATGACATGTTCTTTCAAGTGAAATTCCAAATGCTCTTAATTGTCTGTGCGATACTATTGTAAGAAACTCACGACACCGAGTGTTAGTTCATGAATTATGTAGTTGGCTGTGGCTGTCTCATTTCTTTAGTCCATTTGGGTGTTGAATCTTTATTCTTTAATGTATGTTTTTTTTTTTGGTACACTGCAATTAGCCAATGTAGGGCTGCTGTTTGGATTACTTTTTGTTGTCTTTCCCAAAGTTTTATATTTTCTCTCTCCTTTTATCACAATCTACTTTCACTTTAATTGTATCTAGCTGGAAGATCAAGATAAGTGGCAGATGTCCTTTGTCATTCCCTCAAAGTACGGTGCCAATTCACCATTGCCTAAAGATCCATCTGTAAAGATCACAGAGGTTCCAAGGAAAATAGTTGCAGCTGTTGCCTTTTCAGGTTTGTCCTCTCCTTATTTTATTGTCTATATAGATATTTTGAGAATTTGGGTTATTATGTTGGAAGTATGCATGACTGTATCGTATCAGTAACTTGAGCATAATCATATCTATTTGACGTTGTGTGCTATTGTAGTTTAAATTAGATAAATATCATTTTAATTGCACGAAACGTGGGAGTACTTTATGATTTGTTTAGTCAAGAGTTGTCGAAAGTATCATGACATAGTTTATGTTCTCAATGTCAAATCAGGGTTTGTTACTGATGAGGAAGTTAAGCAACGGGAGTCCAAGTTAAGGGAAGCTTTGAAAAAAGATGGACAGTTCCAAGTGAAGGAGGGAACTTCAGTTGAAGTTGCACAGGTATGATCTTCACTGCATTATTAATAACAAAATGTTAAAATAATCTCATTTCAAGGTACTTTATTTGCACACCGTCTATAAGATTTCATTTACCTTTTTCCTGTTCTAATATGAATGCAGTATAATCCGCCATTTACACTTCCATTTCAACGGCGTAATGAGATCAGTCTGGAAGTCGAAAGTAAAGAGCAATAGTTTTCAGAAATTTACAATCTTTTGGTCTATCAACTATACACGATTCCTCCTGTAAAGCAACTAAGTCAGCAGTTGGATATCTGCCCAATCAAATATCATATGTAATGTCATATGGTATGTAAATATAGTAATATGAACTATAAAAAGTTTGTGGCATATGTTTCAACTACAGACACATGATTGGGATGAACAGTTCCTCAGTTGTATATTGTTTACTAGCATGATAGCATCACATGTTCTTGAGTTATACACTCTGTAAAATTACCATATTTTGTTAGAGGGAACTTGTAAATAATCTCCCCAGTGCTTTCCTTTTCATTGTCATCTTCCTTAAGTTGTGGCCTACGCTTGCATATAGTTAGCGACTTAGCAGTATATATAAATTGCTTGTTCATTTCAATGACTATGGAGGGAAATTCTGCTGATTGACTTGATAAACTTATTGATACATAAAAAGCTGAGAGTAGTATAACTGAAATTTTAAATGCATTTGTCACTGTATATTGCTTGCATGACACGTGTCTGCCAATATGCAAAAGTTAGGTATTCCAAGTGTGCCTAGTGCTTTATATTGGAAGCCAAAATGACTAATGGTACCCTAGTCAATCAAAAAGCTTTATAGTGGACATAATTTACATGGTGGAGTTTGAATGTATTATCACCCACTGAGATCCAAAAGGGATCTGAGATGGCCTCCTGATTGTTCTCCAGAGAGAAATACATGTCCTAGCAAGACGAAACAGAGTAACTATAATCCAAACTTGATATGCCAATATCATATCTATGTGCTATAAAGAAATTTAAAATACTCATGCTTTTTCTAGGATCTTTTCTTTCCACATCTGCTTTCCTGTCAACCAGGAGGAGCCTAAGTTTGTTTTGTGAGAAGCTGATAGGACAATAAAGGGTAGACAGAGACTGTTTCAGAGGAGATGAAAGTACTAGCATAAGTTTTGGCGTCATTTTTAACATTATTGGACCAACCAATTCTTCTTATGGAGTGTCCTTCTACTTTGTAATTTGAATGTATTATGGCAGGTGATACCAAGTACTTAATGCAACCAGCAGAAAATTACTCAATGAAAAAGTCATTTTGGCTTTCCTTTACCTTATGTCAGTCGAACCATTGCACCTAATACTTGTTCGGAGGTATACTACAGACTTTCCTGTAAGAAGGATGCAATAAGGACTTTGGACTGTGTGTCTGTTTGGGTACAAATTCACTGAATCTACGTAGGATTTTCGGGTGTGAGATATTGTTAGGTTCTAGTACCAATTTTCAGATATGGGATGATGTCTTGCTGTTCCATATCATATGGAGCTCCTTTGCTGATGTTTTGTGCAGGAACGCTAGGATAATGTACCAGGGGAGTATTTTATTGGGTTGGGATTTAAATCTGTGGAATTTTTGTTTTCTTTCCCTTTTTTTAAACATTCCTAATAGGAGAAGCAGTGCGAATGAATGGTATTTTTAAAGTATAGTCCTCCTAAGCAGCAGTAGCAGAGCTCTATAATGCCACTGGAACAACCATGGTTGGTATATGAAATACACCAAAAGGTATGGTACCTAAGCTTTTCTTCCATGAGATACACACACATAAACACAAGCAATTTTACTTGAGCAAGTTGACCTATTCCATCATTCCATTATGGGAAGTTGCACCAGGCTTTCATAATGGGAGCACTAGCACCACCACCACAAACTGTAATAATTATGGATATATAGAAATGAAAATCACAAATATTCATTAATTATTATCTACAGTTGGGTAAAGAAATTAGCAAAAGCAATGCCATCAATGCATAATGCTTTATTCTTCTTCTTTTCTATCTTTTTGTGATTTGGCAGGTGAGGCTGGAGGCTCAAGTAGCCAACTCATACAGTCATATGTAGTGCCACATCACCCTCTCGTCAGCCATGCTCCGTGATATTTCTCCATGATATGGTAAAATGCTAACACGCTTTTGATATTTATTATCACAAGGAAATATCTTCCCTGCTTTAGTGGCAGTTTGGCACAAAATTGTATGAAATTACTTGGAAATTCAGCTGCATAGCTTGAATAGTACCTCTGTTGTTAGGTCATGTTCATTTCTCACTTGCATGTTTTTCCCCCTGTTTTGGTTCTTGGTTGTGACTTCTTATGTACTTGAGGGATATGCATGGGGTTAAGGTTTCTAATGACATGCAGATTCTATAATTGTAGTGCAATATACTAAAGAGAGGACATATTTTTAAGCATTTGTATGTGATAAGGAAGAAAAAGAGCTAAACTGTATTTTCCAATGTCTTTCATGGACTTGTTCAATTATATGTATGTTAGACTACAGAAAACTGTTTTTTGATCCCTTTTCCTTTTGTTTGATATGAGAGATTACCAGATTAGTATACAATTTTACATAATAAGGATCCTCTTGCTATTGCTAGTTTAATTCAGGTATGCTTTCTAGAACAGGTTTCCACCCTTCACAGTTACCATCATCATTGAAGCTGTTAGTCTTATCTATGCTTCTGTCACTTTGAAGCTGAGAAACCAAGTCATCGACTGAAACTCCTCCCTTTCTCAACATCTCCCGCAATTCTTGCTTACTTATAACTATCTTGATCCTTACAACTTTAGTTTCTTGTTCAGCTTCGACTTCAGGATTTGCAAACCTCACCTTCTTCTGGGAAGCCTTTTTCGGTGACAACGGAAGAGGTACAAGATAGTAGAGGCGACCACCAAGCAGTTTGGTGTCTGGGCGGAGATGCTGGTAGACCGGAGCCGTCTCAGATATTGCATGGCCAGAAAATTCTGACAAAACCTGGTAAACTTTCATGTCTGCTCTGTACTCCAGTATTTTCCCATCAGGTCTCATAATCTTTGTTATATTTTCCTGCATAACCAAGCAATTTCCCATGGTTCTGTTTATATCAACTTGGAAACAAAACTTTGGTTTGAAAGTGGGGTGTTATGAGTGAGGGGTGTTGGGAATAAAGATGGTTTGTATTTAAAGGAGATGGTTACAATCTTCCCCCTCATATTGCTCCAATATTACAGATATGCCTTGTTTCTCTCTGGACCCCACCTTGCTGAATATTTTATATTTTTTTGTTAGTAAGCTAGAATCAGAGTTCATGTAATCATAGCTGTTCGATACACACTTGAGTTGGGTGGATGAAACGGTTGGTGAGTAAGAAAAAGTAGTAAGCAACTAGTACAGAACAAATCAAAGATTATGTTAGCCTACAATAAGAATATTACTAAGCAAATTTGCAATGATTAAAGCACAAATATGTTTTGGCCTGTCTCTTTGCTGTTGTACGAGTCGACCCACCGAGTCATAAGACTGAGTCAAATCAGTGTTGTGCTCCTTGCATTTTTTTCAGGAGTGGATTATTACCAGACCCTTTCATACAGTAAAGATCAGCTACGATCCAGTAGGGCCACTGTTTAGGATCTGAGTGGTTGACTACTGTGCCTCATATATTTGTTCTTTGATTGACCATCTTTTTGGCAACATTGTTATTTGCTTTTGCTGTTTCCAGCAGTTACTTCACAACTTGCCTTATTCAGGTCGGTAAAGGCAGTAAGGCATAAAATTACAGAAACATTTTCCTCTTTCCTGGTGTCTGGTTGAATATGCCAAATTAAAGGCATCTTTTATATGTTCAAACTTCAAATGAGTCTAAACCAGAAAAGAGTAAAATGACACCAATTTTGTCCATACATGAACCCGTAAAATCCTCTACTCGAACGCAACTAAGTCAATGTACCAAACCCCTCTTGAACTCTAGATTTTGTGGTGGCAAATTATGAGTTAGGAGATTTTTTTGTATTGATACTTTGTTTATGGCCAACACAACGTCGTTTGATGTTTATGGTTGTATTAGAAAGATAATCAAATAGAGGTCATGGATGCATTTCTTACAAATAGACGGTGATTACAAATATGTTATGCATGCTATCTTTCCCTAGAAAACTAGGTTAAGATACTTGTCTCCTTATGTAGAAACGAGCATTTTTTCTTACAAACAAATCACAATTTAACACGTGTACAAAAACTATTCTTTTCGTGTTTTTTTGTTTTTGTGCAGGAAAGAGAAGCCAAGTGTGTTCCCATAAAAAGACAAGGTTGGATGGCAAGGCTGCTGATGAGCTTATTAGGTTTTTTTTTCACACAAAGGTGTCCCTATCAAGACCAATACGCGTCAGTTAGGCATTGCTCTGCCGTCCACGGCTCACACTCGTCCATTTGAGGCGCACTCAGAGTCTCTCAGTGAGGTTAAGCCAGTTTGCAGCAATTTTTTTTTTTGTAGTATATAGTCTGAAGCTTTTGACTGCTCGAGCCCAAAATCAATATGGTAAAATGCAAAAGAGGAATGCTAGAATGGTAGAATTGTGATTTAGAGCAAGAATTTGGTCAATTTGAAAGAGATATAATTTGAATCCTTGATGAGCTATGAAAAGGATTGAGAGCAAGAGGCATGGATCATGGTGATAAAACGAGTAAAATGTCTTTCTTTTTTTTTTCCAAAAAGAGTAGAAAGTGGGTTTAGTGCTCAGTGATGTTGTCAATGCGCATGCTTGATATATGGATTTTGGCATTTCTTTTTACTAGTGGAGGTAGAAGTTTATCCCCTTTTACTTGGAAATTCCAAGCAAGAAAAGCATCAAAGCACAATGCAAAGCAACAAGAGACAATGACTTGACTTCTGTAACTTCATAACTGGGGCAAAAATAGATGATATACCCACACCCTTGTCTATCAATTATTATTATTATTTTTTTATAAATTTAAAAAAAACTTTTATTTAGGTATATTTTTGCCAATAAAATAAAATAAAATTGAGAAGGATACACGTGCTGCGTGGTAAGATTTCGAAAGAAAAGACCTTGTAAACGTGATAGTATTTACTTGTGTCATTGATTTATTCGAAATATATATTTTAGGAATCTTAGATTTCATACCGTATTTAAGACATTTGTGAATAATTTAAGAGTTAGTGCGTTATATTATATTAGATTCCAAATTAATCTTTTCTACTTTTAATTATGTCTTGCAATATAATCACTTCACAGTTGACCCAGTCAAGCCTTAATATTCATAGTGGCATGATGCATGCCACTATGATCTTGTTACATGCATTTGGATTATGTTTTTATTTTTATTTTTTATTGTTCAACAGACTTATTTGGATGATTTTTTGAGAACAAAATATTGAAAATGAAGAGATATGAAAGAAATATGGCTTAAAGTCTTGTGATTTTTATGCTTATAATTTTTTTCTTTAGTTAACTTATTAAGCATCATCAGATTTAATTATAGAAATGTTAATTTTTCTTTTAATAATTCATGCACTAATCAACATGATCAAAGTTGGTGACGGTGGTAGTAGATGAGGATGGTAATGATGAATGGTGACGATGGGGTTCTCGCTTAGTGACAGACGTTGATAGGGAGTTGGGCGGTGCAGAGGCGGTGGAAGTCGGTGACAAGGCAAACTGCGGGGCTCGATGATGGTGGTGGAAGTAACGACTATAATATAAACTTATTAAGGCGTTATTTTGGGTCTAAACTCCATTTTTTTAAAATCCCTTGATGAACTTATAAATTGCACCTTAAATTTGAAAAAAAAAAGAAAAGAATTGAAGTTGAATTTTTCTTTGAAGAGAGCAATTTTCTGGGTTCCAATAATATAAACTCTCTCTTTAACAAATTAAATTCAGTGTAATTTAGTTGAGTCATCACGTCATTAAGTTTTCTGCTTGAGCTTAGAGATGATCATAAACTTTTTATTATATTATAAGAGAGGGAGAGGAAGTCATAATTAACTTGAATAATATTCAACAATTAAGTATTGTTTATATGAAGATAAAGATTGCTTACTAGACTAACCAATACAATAGATAGTGAAAGTGCCATTTCTATATAAAAGAAAGGCTTAATTATCGATGTGCCCTCGGTTCGTCACCGAAAATCCCACTTTGTCTCTTACATTTCAAACTAGGTCAAATTTTCCATTTCAAACTGTTAACTTGGGTTTTATTATCAATTAAATGGAAAATTTATCCCAAAAACTGATGTTTGGAGATGTATATTTATATACAATTGGCAAACTGGCTCTTCCACATCCCAACTGAAAATAAAACCCAAATGAATATGAAGAACAAGATACGAAATCTCTCTGTCGTTTACTCAATGCTTGGAAGTTTGAAACTTGAAGTTGAAGAGATTCTAGAATGGCATGCAAGCAAATATTACAAAACAGCTTGCTCATGAGCTTTTATTTATTTATTTTTTGCCTTTTTTATTCTTGTAAGGGTTAATGCCATTACCAATATGTCAGCATGATGAATGCCTTTTCTGTTTCTTCTAAAAACTAAGCACTTTCTGTTATTCTGCACTGAAAAAGACCAATGCTTCTCTTTAGATTTTCCAAGCAACGCGTTTAAAGTTGCTAGCTTTTTTTTCCTATATATTGTGCATGCTTCTGTTCCACGAAATTTTTCCATGCTTGCAACATATATTGACTCTCAAGGCATAATTTTTTGGTGAACAAGGAATTTGATATCTGGTGGAAAAAAAGAAAAAAAAAGTGATTGTCTTTTTCTTGAACCCAAAGTGGAAAAGCAACTCTACTTTATGATCAGATTGGAGACGACAATAGTATTCCTTTCTCATTCTCATCTGATCAATAGTCTTAAAGGCACTTCTCCTTTTGGACAAAATTGAACTGCCTAAGGCTCTAAATCTCCTCCAACCATTCCTTCTCTCCCTCTCTCTTTGGTACTTCGTGGCTTCTAGATTGGGTCAAGGAGGGGACCACGGTCGGCTGACATGGCATGGCAGCCCAGATCATGACACTTGCCTCTCAGTGGTTGGACGGTGCCACCCTAGTAAAATTCCATTATCTGGATCTGGCTTGCTATTTTCTTGACCTGATCAGTCTAAAATGAAGTGTCTCATTACTCACGAATTAGACTACTAATGAGACTTAATCTGTGGTCTTGGCCAATGCCACGTGTTACCTGTACATGTCCTGTCAATGTAGGTTAATACTTGTTGTGCATGATGGTTATTGTGATGTGGAGGCAGGGTCTAAATCATCTCTCATGAGTCGTAACATTTCTGTTAAGTTCATGAAATGGGCATCAGTTTTTCTCTTTCCCCTTGACATGACAAGTGCAACCACTGCAGCTTGATTGATGCTTAATTTTGCAAGCTGATACAACTTTTTCCAAACGTTCAGATTCAACCAATGCTGAAATCGAAAATGATACGAAGATGGTCAGGAAATAGAAGCAGAAAAACTGTTCTTTGCATATATATTTCTTCCATTTAAATATTTTTATCTTCATGCAAGATCAACTTTCATACCGCCAATCATTCTGTCATCAATATATATACAGATACCAAACTTCAGCAGTGTGTGCATCAGAAAAGGATAAATTATCTCAAATATCCGTGTTGGTTTGTTGTTAGTTAATAGTTCATTCATTCAGAAATGTGTCTTTTCTGTCTCTCTACGCCTAATATATGGGAACCGAATTAAAACATAACCCTAGGTCAAATAATTCCTTCAATTTGTGGATTATTTGACTTAATTGGGAATTACTCAACCTAATTAGGGGTTACTCAATTAAATTGAGAGTTACCTAATTAAGTTGGAAATTGATTTGATACCTACCACAATTAGGGATTTGATTATTTTCCTAATAAATCAAATCCATAATTAATCAAATCAATCCCAAATTGGGGAGGAATAATTCCTTTCCATCTACGGAATTATTCCTTTGAAACCCTAGCTCCCGAGACCTCTATAAAAGGATGGCCACACACAAGGGTTGAGATACGTCAAAATTACTACTAAAACTCTGCATAAATTTTCCTCTCAAAAACCCTAGCCACCTCCTTTCTCTCCCTCTTTTACATAAGGCTCCGGCCACCCGGTTTACACCATAAACACATA